AGACAGACAGACAGACAGACAGACAGACAGACAGACGGAGGCGAGAGTGAGAGCAGGAGAGACAGAGAGACAGAGAAACCCAGACATAGATTATAAGATACAAACAGAGCTACGTAACAAAGTATGAACGTAGCCTGGCAACAAGCACGTTATATAACTAATTGCAACCCTGAATTGTACAAAAAATATAAGTATACTTTATTAATTTATTAGACCTGTTTATGTCCTTTCTAGAAAGCGAGAAAAACATATCAACATAAAATGACATTCACAGAACTGAAATACTATTGTCAGCAAAAGATAGAATTAAATATCCACCAATGTAGAGTACATTGAACGATTTTGATAAGTTTACGAGGGGCATACCAAACGTTTTTTTACCTGACCATGAAGGAATAAAGGTAGAAAGCTGAAATTTGGAATTAAGCTTAGTCTTTCTCTATGTAGACGCCTCCCACAGTTACACTTTTTTGCCATCAGTGTATGACCTAGAAAAGACCTTGAGAATAGAGGACTCTCTCTCTCTCTCTGTCAGGAAACCAGCCCTCTAATGCCCACAAATCAGCATTTGAATTTTTTACACCAAAATTTCATCACAGCATAGGACGGGCAATCAGTTCCATATGCAGCATGCATATTCGAAAAAATATCCTGCTGTTGCTAGCCTAGCAAGAACAAAAACTTCATTACTCTGAGCTCAATTTTCTCCATTTGTATGTTGAAACTGGACTCTGGAGAACAACATACCCCCATTCACTCACAGTGCGCTGGAGGTAAAACCAGTAATTGGAAATTCCCCAAAATTGACATGCATTCTAGGAATATGATTGTTGGCTTTCAAACCAAATTTCAGCTTTCTACCTTTATTCTTTCATGGTCAGGTAAAAGATTTTTGGTATGCCCCTCGTATAAACCAGAAAGAATGGAAGGCAGCCTCGAATCACTTTGCCTACACTTACACATCCGAAGAGCCATTTCAACCAAATAACAGCCCCAAAATAACATTTGTAATCAGAACAGAAAACAACAGTGTATGCCTCAAGCATCATGCAATGATATCCAACCAGCTCATCACTGGCATGATCAGCAAGCTAACCCTTTCATGGATCCTGGAGAGGAGGGAGGAGCAGCTTTGGCACTGTACCATCTGTGATGATACCTATTCTCCAACCAAGTAACCAAGTAACCAAGTAACCAAGCAAGCAAGTAGTAGTAACATTGTGTAGGCACTGGATTCTTTAAATTTTGCACTCTACGGAACAGGTGTGCATAAGATTTGTATGAGAACAAAGTCAGTCGTCCTTGTGACCACCTTCATCTCATAGCAGCACAAAAATAACCCCTACAAAGGACACGAAAAGGTCCATGGGCTTTTTAAGTTTTAGGGCACTTACAACACAACAAGGTCATTTATATATAAGTGCAGGAGATTAGAGATGTTACAAGAGAGTAACAGCCACAAAAAAAGGAGGAGAAAACAGGACGATAGCTGTTTGATAGGAAAAAAGGAGCAAACCACAACACCAGAGCACCCGCCAACCACCCAGGGGGGCACGAGCGTACATCATGCTGGTGGCAAATAGAAGAAGATAAAAGGACAAGACAAGACAATTTTTTAACACAAATAAATTATATAATTCTTATTTTTGATTCACAAATTTGATGGAGGTAGTGAATTTAAGTAATGATTTGGAAACGATGCTGAGAAGGGAAGAGCTATGTAGCTGCTTAGAAAAAATCATTCTGGGAAGGAAGTGTTAGTTTCAACAAAATCTCTCATAAGTCAACAAAGATTTATTCTCCATTGTATTTAGTATAGGGTGAATTCAAAACCAAAAGTCTAAGGAAACTAAAAGTTCAGCAAAGATCATCCATTTAAAAAATCTTAAAAGTGCACATAAATTTTGACGTATATAATTCTCATTCTATCTTACAAACCAAAGTAATTTTATTTTATTTGCGAGTGTTTGTGTGCATGTGTGTGTGTGTGTGTGTGTGTGTGTGTGTGTGTGTGCGCGTGTGAGTGTGCGTGTGTGCAATGGTGGCTTATAATGAAGGGGGCGGGGGGCAGACTCTTAACTTACAGGTAGAAACTGTAGAGAATAGACATTGAGAAACAGAACAGGAACCAATAATGAAGATGGATTTTTTTTTCTCAGAGTCGAAACAAGTAGGAGGTGAGGTGTGATTAGTCGAGGTTGGAAGGGGGGGGGGGGGCGTAGTACACTGTGCACATAACCTGTATAACTGATAAAATGGGAACTCGGTCAGTGAGGAGAGTCATATACTACTACAGCCATTCCTAGCTTCAATAAACTTACTATGTACTTTTAACTTGAGAGAGCATGATCAAAGAATAGAACACAGTGTCTCATACAGTGCATGTCATGGTGCATTCCAATTTAAAGAAGTAAGTCAGTCACCGGCTTTTATAATGTAAAGGTTTGGCGCTTCACTGTCGCACGCAGCAGACCCGAGTTCGATTCCTGAGTGGGGAGAACATTTTCATCATATCTCAGTCTTTCTGCTGGAATGTTGCATCCCTCTTAGTCTTAGTCAAGATAGACTCTGACAAGCAGGGTTGGGAGCCCGCCTCCTAAATAATAGAAAAATTTGTCGATGGGGGCATAAAAAACATCTACATTTGAAAAGAAATTTGATAGTAAGACATGACTGAGAAAGCAAGAAAATCTTGCTAAAAGCTCAAGGACTGATGAGTAAGAGAGCATAGGCCTGCTGTTACCGGGAAAGAGCTGTCATCATACAAAGAGAAGCAATCTGAACAGCAGAAGTGTCTGGACCTCTGAATCATAACATCTGCTTTTGACTAAAACTAAAACACAAAATACATCTTTAACTAAGCAGCATCAGAGACAAAGAAACAAAAATGGTGCCTTGTGGGATTTTTTTTACATTTAATTTTGTCTCATCTGTGTCTTCTGTTCTCATCTTTAACTGAATGGACAATAAGTTCACTGAATAACTTACAGTCAGTTCAAGGAAAGCCAACAACAACCGCTGAACTGAGAAGACATTGTACAGACATTATTGTTTCTTTTCTATTACAAATATACTATGTGCACTGCATTTCTTTTACTTCTGGCCGTTCTTAAAACAAGTAAAAATAGGACTTTTATAATATATTTCACTTCTATAGTTGGTTGCTTTTAAGCACGGAGAGGCTATCCCAAAAAATGCTGTTTTGAGAAAATCGAAGGTAAAGTTTTTGCCCCTTGTTCTGTTTCTTAAAAAGGCAAGGAGAGTTTTCTCTATAACCAAACAAAATTAAATATATACACACCAATGAAACCTAACTTCTCCTATAGGTAGGGCAATGCCCACCTTTGATGTAGGTCAAGATTTCTGGAAACCCCCGAAATATAGGTTAGCCCGCTTGTCCTTAAAAGCAACCAGTTCATACCCCTGCTCAAAATTAGGTTCTTTGCTATACACTTTACAACACACTGCGCTAAAGGGCACAGTGAGAACTTGTAGAATCAGAAAAGGCTACCATAAAAACCAAACAGACAGAAATGCAATGCAAACAGTCCAGTCCACACATATGGGCATCCGAATAACTTTAAATTGCCCTGACAGAACGTCTAAAATATTGATGGATTCTGCAGTTCTATTTGATTCCACTAACAAACAAGATTAAAGTAAGAGAGCAGAAAACTTGTAAGTAAATACATCACACCATCAGTTCCCTTATTATAAGGAGATAGCCCATGTGCATGTTGTGCAACATCCACACATCCAAAATGATGAAGATTCACATTTAAATTCATTTCATTCAAACATTGTAGCAGCAAAAGAACGGCATAAAAAGTTCCTTCAGTGGTGGTACTTATCAGTAACTGTTTTATAACAAAACATTTTATCAAGACAATGTCCAAAACTATTTTCTTCTTTCAGGTCGCAATATACCTGCATACCATATACATGTATTTCAATTATCAAGGAATAGAAATGGCAAATATGATTAAATTTACTCAGAAAGATCAACAAGTGCTACAAGTGTATGATATGCAATAAAGTCCAAGTAAAAAGTTAGAGGTACCTAAAAGTCAGAGGAAGGGCATATCAAAAGCCAACTACAATAGTAAAATTAGAAAGTGAAAACCAGAAAAAACCAGAAAATCAAACATAAAATTTATTCTGTAACATTAGAGAAAGTCCCAAGAAGAAATGTGAGAATACATGCATTGTCTGAAGTTAATATGAAACATGCATGCAATTTTACCTCTACTCTATTTGATTTACAGCCAAATAATAATGCTAAATTCAACATCAAACTCATGCTAAAGAAAGTTCGGTACTTGTGTACTTGCTGTTTAATCCAATATATTTCAGTATTTACCACTTTCCCAACAGAACTAGAACAGTCAAGAGGCCAATAACTGTGGGAAAGAAAAGGTGACACTGTAAGCCTTAAGGACATTCAAGCAGTGATAACAGTTTCTTCTTTCGCTTGAATAGTACCTTGTGAGAGCTCAAGAGTAGCAAAGTTTTCATTTCAAGAGTTGTGACTCCTCAACAAAACATGTAACACCTGTCACCAGGGACTGACAGCACACCTTACCTCCTATATTTATCAATTTTCATCACGGGTATTAACTACAGCCTGTAAATATTTCGTTGTTATTTTTTTTTTACACTGTCAGATCTACACCATCATTAAAAAGGATAATCCTTTTTTAAACAAAAAATAAAACATAAAACAGCACAGCTAATAAATATACATTTTCATTTTAAAAAGTGATTTAATTTAAGCAAAATCTGTCACAAGAGTGAATGTAAGGACAATTTATTTAGGGTTGAACTCAGCTAAGCAGTTAGACGCCAAAGATAAAAAAACATTTACTCAAGTGTGGATTCGTTTTTAACACCTCTGTGGATGAATATAATGCGAAAGAAAAGAAAATTCTTAGTCACCCCAGGACCTCTGACAATGTAGCCACTAAAACTAAAATCAGAGCCTATCTATGTTTCCGTAATATAATCAGAATTAGCCCTAAATCACCTCCTGGACATTATGCTAATCTGCCACAGGTTTAATCTTCTGAAAAATGTGCTGGAATATATCTCCATCTGAACAAGAGTGTGAAGTGGGAAAAACTGTGTCATGTCTCTGTCTGAAGAACACAAAGCTGAACCTGTCACAGGTAAAAGACAAGCCCGTGATTTTTTGGTGATCCATTCGCAAGTCAAACCAGTAAGCAACTAGTGTCAAAAGGCTTAAAATGGATCTCTAATGAACTAAAACTAAAAGTTAAAAAAACTCCCATCCCTCAGCTGCAAAGGGAAGGAACCAATATTCCATGACATAGTATCGTGGACGGAAAGTACGGAAGAACACAAACATCCACATAGTCAAAGAAGCATAAAAAGATCTCAGGGAAGAAGAAACAGATGTCCCTGGAAGACAAAGCTTTCTTTGCCAGCAGGAATCTGTTTAACTGGTTTTGAGTTAAACGAGAGTTATTCTCTTCACTGTTTACTTCTTGCCTCTTCTCTTGACTTTTTCTAAACACTGGTCATTTTCACAATCTCTCTTTCTCACACTCAAAGCTTCTCACATTTACAGAATTTCTTCCTCTTTGCTTCTTACTTCTGGTAGAGATCCATTGAATATACAGTGGAGTGCGCTTAAACCGAAGTTTGTGGGGCTGCTGGATTTTCCTCGGTTTAGATCTAGCCGTTTTTTTGATCAAGAGAAGTTAATCAAAAAATAGAAAAAAAATCTACGGATTTCATTTTCTATAGCTTTACTGCTGTTTTCAGATTAACTTTGTTCAGTTTAAGTCGACTCCGCTTTATCTCTAACAACACTTCAAAATAATGTGCAAGTTAAAATGTTATGATTTCATAAATAATCATGACCAAAATCCTTTAAATGCCCTTGAATTGTAAAAATCCTGAGTTCATTTTAACTATCCAGGGTAGGCCTAGGATGATGTTTCCTGAGAACAGCTATCTCAAAAAAGAGGGAAAAATATACTGATAGTAATATAATATACTAACAATAACCAGCTTGAACTCAAATGTTTGGTCATCAGTAAAATAGAAATGAACCACACAAAAAGTTACCCCAAAAAAAAAAATTAAAGGAAATTAACTGACCTCTCCAACTTCTTAAAATATACCATTCAATAAACAGTATTTCTTTATAAAGTAGCATGACTTTTGCAAATAAGGGAGTATAAAAGTAAAGATTTAACATTCAATGTTAAGAACAGTGATAGGCTGTAGAACATAAAATCTTTGATTTGTGCTATATATGGCACCTATACAAAAAGAAATAAATGAACAAAATACACAACAGAATAGAATCTATATATATATATATTTATATGTATGTACAAACACAATGATACAATATATGAAAACACAAGAACTTCCACACTAAATTCTTACTGAAATATAACAGATCCGAAAGACATCATACATGACAAAGAATAAACGTTATGAAATTATAGAGGATGAATGTACTAACAGCATAGGGACCAATCGTACAGCATCTAAAGAAGAAAGCTGCAACTTTATTCATCTTTATTATAAACTGAGCAATATCACTATGACAAAATAAAAACTAAACCTTTTAAAGAAAAAAAAACAATGAAAAGGATTTCTGAAAAAAAAACAACAACAGGCTTTTATTTTCTAAACGGTTTCAGCCTCTTTTCAATCTTTCTTAGTTTCAGCAGTAGTCACTATGGACGCTAACGCAGCCTCGACAGACAGAAAAAGACGATCTCCATTCTTAGCCCAGAATCCTGTAGAATGAAGCATTGGCAAAATACTTTCAGGAATGGATGTTATGAGAACCTCTTTGTCAACAGATACAAATTCTGAGATGAGAAACTGAAGAGCCTGCACTCCCATCAAGTCTATAAAAGCCACCTCTGAAGCATCTAGAACAATTACCTTTGTGTCTTCCGGACCCGTTCCTAGCATGGTACCATTCATATGTTCCGTGTCCTTATCTGCAGTCTCCACCACTTTTTTAGCTTCCTTAAGCTGCTTCTTTAAGACAATGGGTTCGATGCCAGTCTTCTGAAAAACTTTTGCAGTGAAGATATTGGCATTGACAAAATATAAGGGTGTTTTAATCTTTATTATCTTCACACTCTGAAGCTTGGTAGCTGAAGAATATTTACTTAAAGAACGCAGTTCAACATTAAAGGCTCCAGTCTGAATCTGCCCGGCTTCCACAACAGGGGTTATCATTGACCTCATAACAACAAGGAAAAGAGAGAAGACAACCCCAGCCAGAAGACCCATGTCAGCATTTAGCACAATTGTAGCCACACATGTGAATACCCACACAGCACAATCATACCTTGACTTTCTCCACTCAGTGGGAATAACTAACAGTTTAAGGAACATGGTCCTCAGGTTGACAACAATAATGGAGGACAACACACACATTGGGAGATAGTAGAAGTATGGTCCAATAACCATGATCACAAGGAGCACAAGTCCAGCAGCGAAAAGGGAAGCGATCTGGGTCCGGCCACCCGCCCCGTCCTGTACCACACTCCGAGAGACAGAAGCACCTGTGATGTAGCTGGAGAAAAGACCACACACTACAGAACAGGCGCCACATGCCAGCATTTCCTGGTTAGCATCTACTTGATAATTGTGCTTCAGTCCCATAGTTTTTGCCATGGCTAGAGTTTGTGCGTACGATACTATGATAATAACAATTCCATCTCCGATGTAGTCTGTGACTAAGGTAAGGTCTGGAAACTTCGGGGCTGGCACTCCAATGGGCACATCCTCCACCACAGGGACATCATAAGTCTCGTTCAGATTCGCAAAAGTGGAGATAAGTGTAGCAACTATAACAACGAAGAGTTCAATAGGAACAGGAATCCTCATACGCTTCTTGAATCTCTCATTTATACATCGCTTCACCAGATAAATCACAAGCATGCATATGATTGAGATGATTAAAGTTGCAATGTTGGTCTCAGGTAGTTTTTTCAGAATTTCTATCCATGTCCTAATAACTGATGCAATTCCTTTGAACCTCGGGATGGACAAACCCAACAAACTTTTCAACTGACTGGTTGCAACGTGGAAAGAAATACCGACAGTGAATCCAGTAATAAGAGAGTCAGACATCAAGTTTGTTATTTTTGACAAACCAACACGCGACGCCAGTATCAAGATTAGACCAGCTGCAACACTTACTCCACTAGCAACTTCCATCCTCTTGGCAACTATAGCTGCCATTTCTTCTGCTGTCTTGCTACTACCTGAGTGGGTTGTATTTTGTAAGACTACGTAATCAGTCACTAGACTTGATGATGTAGTGTCCGCTATAGTGTTTGCGACAGTGCTTGCTTCTGGTAAGCTGCCTAAAGAGTCAGGAACACTTTGCCCATTCAAAGTTCCGTTCAGACATACTAATGATAGCTCACCAGCCACAGAAGAATCGTATTTGTCAAGGATGGTTGCAATCATAAGACTGAGGATGGCAATGCACCCCCACGATAACTGACGGCCTGTACCCAAGAAAAAATATGTAATTGAAGCGAAGAATGAGATGTACAGACCCACAATTGGTGGCAAAGTGGACAGAGCCGCAAAAGCCATACCCTGAGGTATCATCATTACTCCTGAAGTAATTCCTGCAATCAAATCATTGGGAAGGTCCTCTTTCACTTTGTACTTTCGAATAGTTTTTATAAATGGAAAAAATCTATTCACTGATTTTGTCACATCACATTCAGAGAAGTACCCCTTCACCACAAGAGGAATTCTACTAAACAGAGATGAGTTATCCTCAGGATCCCGAAAAGTTTCCTCAAATTCGACAAGTTTGGGATATTTCGTGATGACTTCTGCCTCTGGGTCCACAAGCTCTAAGCTGCCAGTGCTGCGTGCCGAATACATTGTCAAAATGTACCTGAAGAAAAATAGAAAAATATTTGTTTGAGTACAAGAAGAGCACTTTTGCCGAATATGGAAGTCCTTATTTAAAGTTAAAGGAACAACTTGGCAGCGTGCAATAAAATAAATAAAATGGAAGAATTTAAGTCAACCATAGGCACTTTTTCGAAAAGAAATCAGATGCTTAAATGTCTCTGATGCGGGCACAATTGTGGAAAATGCGTTATGGTTAAACAAGGGTTTAGAGAATAACTGAAATTGCAATGTGATATTTGAACTGTAAAACCGTGTCACGTTTGAAATATAAAAACGCGTGCACATGACATCATAATAAAAAGTTGCCTTGTGTGCATTAGAAGGTACAAAGTGGCTTTTTTTTCCTACAATATGGCATTTGAAGTTACAGTGTGGCATTTGAAAATATTAGGATTGTATTTGATAGCTTGCTTTTTCAAAAGCTAAGTTGAATGGCAAAGTCAAGCACATCATCTCAATAAATGGTGGGAAAACCAACTAGCAGTAGCACAATTTGAGTTGAAGCTGTCTTTGCGAGTTTAATTAAACAGTTTTCAGGCTCTAGTATAAAATGAGATCTACTGTGAGATGGTCCGGCCTGTCTCTCTTTCCCGACACCATTGATGAGCAGAAGTGTCATATTTATTTTCTGCTTTTTTATTTACTCAAAGTAAACAAAAATGAAAAATATGTGGCGAGAGACGATCAGGGTAATTTAAGTTTTCTTACAGCATCCAACAGAAATATGTGACGAGCCAGGAATGCAGGTGCCTTATTTTTTATTTGGCTCTTGGAAAAGAGGCAGAATGACAGAAGCCAACAGACAAAAGGCAAAAAGGAGGTCTATTAATACCTTTTCACCCACATAGTTTTTTGGGGGG